AAGTCACTTTGTTCTGAGAAGGGGCCGTCCCAGTTTGATGCTCTCGCCACCTAAGCGTGCACATGTCGCGACTCCAAGCCATATCAGGCATGCTTGACCAATAAACAGGGATGATTTGCCACATAGCAAACCAAAACTACTGCCATGCAAAACTGCAAGTTCCAGAAGAACGGTTCAAAATTGGGCTCTGATCCTTGGGAGCTCGCCAGCATGTCCCTACTTGGGACCCTGCCTTCTCAGGGCATCCCCAAAACGGGCTATCATTTTATCAACCCTGCGCAACTGCTCGTCAATACTGGAAGTTAAGTGGGGAGTCTGGAAACATTGAACACTTAGCCGTCCCCTTTGCACATCCAATTTGGAAATTCAAGCTTCTGGGGGCATCCAGATCCCAAAGATCCACCCCCCCCTAGCCAGCATGATATCAGCACCCCTCTGCTTTGCCTAGTGGCCAGTCAGGCTTGGCTGTTTAGCAACCATAATGGTTTTGGCTTCAGCTGGTCTTCGCAAACTTTTGCTAACCCGTCCTCGAGCTCCATGACCATCCTGAAGCACCAGCGAGTAAGAAAAGCAAAACGAATCCGGCACCCATATGGTTGGCTTGTTCAAAATGCGGGGGGCTCCCTAATTTCCTGTAGCGCGCCGCCACTACAAGACGGCCAACCACGACAGTCTGGCAGAAGGATTGAGGATTGGTTTGGAACAACCAGGTTCCCAAACAGGGGGGATCGGTTGGACATCCATTCAACAGGCGGCACACTCCTCGCTTGAATCCAGATTTTGAAGGAATGGGATGAAGCACTGCGAACCTCTGGCATGTTCCGCCTCGAGGCGCCGCGGCGCCAATTTGCCAGGTTATGTGCTGCATCATGAACGGAACTCACCACAGACACAGAAAGCAAACAAGCGAATGCCAACAGTTCCCAAATAACAGAGCCCTAGTTGCCCGTCCGGGCTTGGACAGTTCAAGTTCTGTTGTTTAGAGCTTTCTCTTGTTATGATTCTTGGGTATCCCTCCGTGGGAATGCGTCACGTTCTTCAGATGCACCCTCTTTGTGCCAAGCGCAACATCTATGGTCGGGGTTTTTTACTGAGCTCGCTGCAAAACCACTAGCCTGAAAAGAGGCAATGTGAATCCCGCTGGGGCAAATCTCAAAATCGTCTGCAGATGAGGAGCTGTCCTGCCCGTATTTAATCTGCTCTTGGGGAAAAGGGCCCGCCCCCTCCCATGGTTGTGGACCATTCCCCTTGTGATACCAACATGTGCCATTCCCACAACTACTTTCTCGCTTGGATATCCACGCTCAGCCCTGACCGGCAACACAACTCGGCCTCAAAATATCCACACAAAGAAGGACGACTTGTTTTCCCGAGAGCAGCGCAGTCTTCTGGCCCCGCCCGTTTTGGGGTTGCATGTCAATGCCAAGTGGCTGCATGGCCGTGAAGCCCGCAGTGCCAATGGCCATGCACTCCTGGCAGTGTCGCTAACGCCGGTGAGGAGTATTCCCTCGGTGTCCAGGACAAACCAATTCGACAATTTCCCAAACGAAGGAAACATAGAACACGTGGCGTTCTCCTTTTTTTTTTAAATAAACGACGGGCTAAATATTTTGGCCTGCATTTGTGGCCGCTGGGCATGACCCGCGGAGAGAAAAGCTCCAAGAGAAGCAGGCAGGGCGTCCGGCCGAGATCGAGTCCCGAACCCAGACCTCCAGGCTGAAGCTGCGCGGGCGGGGCACCAGCCACTCCGCCTGCACGGAGCACCGCTCGCTGTAGCCCCCGTCCACGTGCTGGCCGATCTTGTTGCCCGTGAGCACCACCTGAGCGCAGCGTGGAGGGACACAAGCGGCATCCTGTGGTGCCGTCGGCTTCTTTAACGCCAACCTTTTCCCGCAAAAGGGGAAACACGGGTAGAACATATGCCACCGGCTTGCCTGGGGTGTTGCAAAACCAGCTTCTGAAAAAAGAACGCCTTCGGCTCTTCTTGGTACCCGACTTCAAGAATTCAACCTCACACAGGGACTTTATGGATGATAAGTGTGTCTTCCTTGACCTCTGTTTGTTGTTCCCGTTCCACGCATTAGGCTGTGTTCCCTGCAAAAGCAACCCAACAGGGGGCTCCTCAAAAAAGACATGATGCTTTGCTAATTATAACGCCCCTTGTTGCTAATTTGTGACCAGGGATCTGGGTAGGACCATACGGATGCACGCAAATGAAGCCAAGCTTGCTGGTTCGGAGGAAATCACAAGGGTGCCAAACATCTAGCCGTCCTCTTTTTCCATAGCGGCTGGCTCCCCTGTGTTCAAGCAGCATGTTGCTAATGTTCAACTCTGAATTGCCCGTATTGATTACCTTCTCGCCAGGTTGTTGCATGTGCAATTCAGCAATGAACCCGGGTGGAGAAAGCTTACAAGTGAACCCTGGCGTGTGCCTGCCGTTTTGTTGGTGCGCGTCGCTTCCGCGAACGCCGCGCCTCGTCCCCCGGGCTGAAGAGCGGTGAGCCGCTCTCCAAGACGACGCCTGCCATGTCGATGCCCGGCACGATGGGAAAGCGCCGGACCACCCCATGCCGGCCCTGCAGGATCATGGCATCCTTGTAGTTCCTCATGCAAAGGACCCGGAATTAACGAAAAACAAAACAAGTCTATCCGTTTGGTAGGATGGTGTAATACGGGGCTATATTCTGGGAGGGTAGTCTTGTTCATTTTTCTCGAAGGGATTTGGAATGATTTGGAAGGAAAGCAAAAATTGCGGCACTCCCCCCATGGGGACAAAGTAGAAGCCGCTCTGGGCAAGCCCATGGGATCCTGCAGCAAGTCTGATGGCCCCAGGGCTAGGCAGCTAGGAATTGAGGCATTTGAGGGTATTCTGGGGCACCTGCTTTTCAACACTGCCTTTGAGACAAACAATTGAGTTCCTAATAAGTGAAGAAAGCTTTCCGAGAGAATGGCATAGTGGCATAGTGCATGCTGAGGGAACAAGTTGACACTTGGTTGACCTCGGCATGTCAGACATGTCTCAGACAAGGGCGAGGAAGCAGTCACAATGCACCGTGCCGTGAATCCTGAAAGGGTGTGGTAGGCCACTAAGCAGGTAGCCGGCAGGATCGCACTCCCCACCGCGGGACAAACATAAACGGAGCAAGGACGGCCTGGCTGGCAGCGTTTTTGCCTCAATCACTAAGGCTTATATTGGCAACAACGAAGGGAAACAACGTGGCAGTGGCTGAAAAAGTGTTGCCAAAGTGGCACCCAAAGGTACATGATTAAACCAAAGACTAAAGCCTGCGTTTTGCCCTGGCTCCTTAATTTTGAGCCATCCCCAGATGTGGTTTGGCGCGCAAGGCCCCCGGGATCCGACGATTTTCGCCGTGGCTCAGGTCGCTGTACTTCACCTGCACCGTGACGTTGGCCTTGGGGTCTTGCTGGGGCAGCTGCGACAGGCTCTCAAAATAGGCCACCTGAGATGTGAAGCGGCAGGTGGAAGTACACAGAGGGATAGCAAGCCTGTACCCAGGAAATTTCCTGCTCGCCACCAAGCGAACAACCGAGGGCTTCATGCCAACCTAAACTCCGCAGTTGCCGTTTTCCCACGAAACAAACATTCCTAGTCCGGGGACGCCATCGCAGCTGGCGGTCCCGACCAACACCCTCTTCTATCAAACAGTTTGGATTATCCCCAAACGGTAGCACCCCTGAAAAGCATGGTTTCCATGCATCTTCCCAACCCAAGGCACCTCAAACATACACCTCTTTTCAACATCTGCACACATATCCTGTGTGAAATCCTCCACTTGACTTAAGTGCCCTGGAAAAAGAACAACACAATAGTGATAGGTTCCCTTTCGAACCGCCAGGGCAAAATAACACATATTCAGCAAGTGGAGGAAAAAGGCAGTGGTTTGCATTCGTGACATGTCTTGCTTCGGGCCATTTCCGGATCCATTTCCGGGCCTCGCATCGCTTCAGCTTGCCCTTCTCCGCATCCACCAGCCATGCCCGGAACCCGTTGGCCCCGAGGCAGCGCCGCGCCAGCCGCATGGCGGTTACGGAGAAACCACGGGATGGTTACGGCGCTGGGTTTGGTGGGTCGTTGTTGCGTCACAGGGGCTAAGAGTAAGGGCTAGCTTGTCATACCTGTCTGGACTGACTGGCCGACCGGCCAGCTTGGGCACATGAATGCGACATTTGGATCATGTTGGGAATCTCATGCCTCGCTCGTGCTCAACCCATCCAATCACAAAATGTCAAGCGCTTCCGAGGGAGTGTGCCGGATGGATCCAATGTAGACTTGGAGCCCCTGCCAACAAGCTAACTTGTTGGTGGATGTTGCTGGTTGAGAGGGGGCATGAAGCCAATCAGCCAAATTTCGCCTCACACCTCTGACATGCCCCAGAGTTGACAAAGTGTGCCTTCAATCCTCCGAATTCGCCCCCCAGGGGGTGCAGAATCTGAACGGGTGATCGACCAGCAGGCCTTTCCCGGGATAAAAGTGAGTGGCTTATCCAGGGCTCGTTTCTGCGTCACCCATCCAGGTTTTGCTGATTATCACAGCCTATGAGCAAAGCCTTACAGGATCCACCAGGGCTTTCTGTTGACTGTTTCAAAGTACCCCCGCAAGAATGTTGGCTCACTAATCCCGAGGCATCGAAGAATAAGCATATGGCTTTTCGTTGGTTGATGATAACCACACAGAACCAACTTGAACAAACTCCACCGGGCTCAGGCGACGAATACGACAATGCGGATGTCTTCCTGGAAAAGCTGATGACACGGAGGGCTGGTGCGGGCGCCAGGCCGTCACACTGGTGTCTTTTTGGCTGGCAGAGTACCCTTTGTGAGTTGGTTTCAAAGGGAAACAGACCGGAAATATGTGTCTTGTTCTTCTTCTTCTTCTTCGTGTTCCTTTACGTTCCTTTTCTTTTGGGGCGGTGCACTTAAACAAACACCCACGCGCACGTCTCAAGCTGGCCATGTCGTTCCCGCTCTGAGCCGCCCACTGGATGAGCAACTGCATGCTGGGGAACTCCAGGCCTCGTGGCTTCCAGAAGCCCGGGTGATGCGAGGCTCTGAGATCAAACGAATGGCACCCTGGCATCCACCGAACCTTGCTTACAGTCTTCTCGCTTGCCCAAAAGACCTGGACATAAAAGGTTAACCTTTTGGGACCTTTACAATAAATGGAAACCAAACATGGGAAAACCAAAAGGTCAAAAGGTCGATTCGCTTTGGGCAAGTGAGTCTTAGATGAGCTGACTTTAACAGTCGGATCTCAAGAAGAAAAAAACGGCGACTTGAAGTTCACGACGCCCTTTTCTGAAGTGCGTTTTAGGGTGCGTGCGCTTGGGCCGCTTGGGTGTGCCTATCACTTGCCGCCCGTGCTGTCGCTCAATCAAGCAAGCCGGTCCGCTTGCCCAACTCTGTTCCTGGGCATGCCAGAGCAACTGACCAAAATTTAAGAGGGTCCATGAATCATGCGTGGATCCAAACATGTCCAGATGGATCATGCCCAGAAGTTGTCGACCATCGGCCCTATCAAAATGGCTTCAAAGGTCAAGTTTAGGCCCCACTATACCCTTCGCAAAACAAGGCATTAGTACTGTGCAATTTTCTACCCCAGCTCCTGCCCCCCCAACTACAAATCCCAAGCTAAGATCACTGGACCACACATACAGAGCACAAACAACCTTGTGCCAAGTGATACCTTAACAGAGATCCCCGTAGAACCCACAAACAGGTCCCCCTCCAACCGATTGCTTTCGGCCCCGTTTTTGGAACTGCGCCTCGGCAAATCCCCAGCTTTTGGGACTTCTCCCGGCGCTTCTGGAGCTCTTCCGGGAACGCGGCCTTCCGTTCCGTTCCAGCGGAGGGCTGCGTTATTCTTGGGACCCCCCCCATATCACCTCACTTCCTGTGAGTGGATGGGAGGAGAACAACAAAAACAACAACTTGTCGTTGTGATTTGCCACCAAGACAGTGTTCCAAAAAAGAAAGTCCATGAACTCAGGGAGTGAGTTACTGGGCTCGCAGTTTAGTCTTCTTAGGAAGTAATGGCGCAATTCTCTTCCGCCCCCGAAGATGAACAGGCCTCCCAAAGCCTCCAGCCTGCTTGCACGGAAGGGGTGGGAGAGCTTGCAGGTGAGATGATCCCTTCTGGCAATATTTATTTTTGATGCAGGAATCCGGTTTATTGATTTAATCGACATGTTTCTGTGAAAATAGAATGCTCGCTGCGTCCAGAAATGTAAATTAGTTGCGGAGGAGACTCCAGGGTGACGGGGTAGGGATGGCACTCATTTGCCCAAAGGACCCAGAAATACAAGGTCAATCTTTCAGAACCTTGACTACATATGGACCAGCAGAAGGTTGCGATGTCGGCTTTGAGCAAGTGGGTGTGGCTCAAAACTGGGGGGGTCCAAAATGGAACCCTGGCAAATAGAAAGGTAGACTAAAACCTGCGTAACCCCAGCTGCGTAATTTTGAGCCACACCCAGTAAGTAAATCAATTCCTCAAGCGCCACAGGCTCGGGAATCCCATGGCCTTCACTCGCTCGCTGAGCTTCACGATCTCCGCCTTCTCCTTCTCGTTCTCCAGCTGGTCGGCCTGGGGTCATCTTAAAATAGTCCCTGGAAATATCAGGTGCTATTTGGCATCCGGCCCCTCCCTCCTTTATTGCATGGAACAGGCCCCGATTCAGACAGAAAGACATATGGGTGTCTCTTTCACGGTACCCTTTTGTGTTCAAGGGAAACTTTGGGCGGCCCACGCCTGAAAATCACACCAAGAACCAGCTCCAACAACCTACTGCTCCTCCAGCCTTCATGCCACAGCTCTGGTTTGGTGGTACCCCAAGATTCCGAAAAATCGACCCTGCAGTATCTTCAGGTGGAGGGGCGGGGTTGCCCAGCTCCATCTGCATCCTCCCAGCACAGATCCGGAGCCTGGCTTTCCAACTCCTTCAGCTTCTGGCAGCAAAACTCCACCGCCTAGCGGCCCCGCGGCAGCTAAGAGAACTGCGTGCACCGCTTCTGTCTTCTAACTGGCACAGCAGGAAGTCTTGGGAAAGGAGACCCTGGCTGACAGTAGCAAGGGAAACTGTAGAAGCAGACTGCAGGCCCCTGAACGACTTTGATTTGAAGGCCCTACCGGTGAGTTCCAAGCGGAACTGGGCAGCTGAACACAGCGGCCCGAGCCGGTTCAGTTCTGGGGGGTCTCCTCTAAATCCTCGGAGGCGGGGTAAGCAGCTTACTTGTTGGTCATGTCTATCCCTACCTGGACCGCCACAAATGTAGGCGTCGTCAGACTTAGGACTTAGGCAACGCAGCCAGGCCTTGCCGCACAGCTGACCAATAAGCTGCTGGCTGACCACGTGCAAACAATGCAAGGTAGGACATGTGCATACCAATGGTGGAGGCGCGCTTAGCCTGACAATGGTCGGAGATCTCGAGTGTTGCATAGGGGCTTATAGGGGCTTGGATGGATGAGCTGATCATCCCCTTGCGCCCTTTCAGAGGGAAGTCACTTTGAAACGGCTGTGCAGCTACAGCGTTTGATCCTGGCCATGTGGAAAAACGCGTGTAAAACCTCCCCCCCAAAAAAAACCGCTACCAGTGTTTGATTCGATCCTAGCCATGTGGAAAAACGTGTCAAAAAAAAAAAAAAAAAACGTGCCCCCCCCCCAAAAAAAAGGCGCCAGCGAGCCGAACCGGCGGCCCGAAGCCGAACCGCGATCGATCGACCGATCGCGAGAGATCGAGCCTTGCGCCTGGCTTCCACGGGACCAGCTTCTGCTGGGAACTCCTGGCTTCGGCGCGGGGGCAAATTCTGAAATTGGCGGGGTCCCTTCAAAATGTTTGTGTGTGTGTGTGCGTTTCTTCTCTTTGTTTTTTTTTAAACACAAGCAAAGTGCAGCTTGGAACCTTCAAGAAAGACGCACTACTTGGAAAGACATGCCACGGAAGCAGGAACACGAAAGTGAGCAAAAAACCCTCACACATGAGCAACGCGTTACATTCCAAACAACATTCCAAACTCCCTGAAACAACCACGAAGGGAATACTGATCATTGCTCCGAACACTCCGGGTTTGTTTCATCGCAACCACCAACCTGAACCCAGGGGTTCCCTTCCAGAAAGGAAGCCCCAAGACCGTCACCAGCGGACCGCCTCTTCCACGCCCTCCGTCACGGCCACCACCCAGCGACGGCCTCAAGCCGATGGCGCTGAAGGAGCGGGGTTGAACGCATGGAGCCTTTCACCAAGGAGAAAACACCCTCGCTTTCTGCACCCCCCCAAAAAATCACATTTCATTTCAAAGGGGACATGGGCAGCAAATGAATTTGTCAGCCTCTCTCCTGTCACGATTCCATTGTGATGAGAGGTGAAGGGAAATGAAGCCTTCATCGCGTCGCGCTCCGCATGCGTACTTTACGCTCACGATTCAGCATAGTCAGGCTGGACGCCACTCACTTCGGTAATCACTGACCACTCAGGTGGCAAATCGTGAGCTACCTTGGCCCCATGTTTGTCATGTTTGTGCCGAGCCGCTTTCCAATCTTGGATTGAAGCAGGCTTCTTGACAGTGCCCCAGCTGGCAGAAAGGGCACTGCAGAGTTCCGAAGAACGCTTCAGGCCCGGGTGTCGTTTTGTCTCCTCGCTTTCTGGCGGACCTATCTGGGTTGAGCGGGCGTGCCTCCCGCTTGAGGTGTCCAGGGCGTGCTCAGCACTATGGGATCGTGCTTGGCATGTTGGCGTCTGTCAACCGATGTGCGCACCCTGTCAACGTCCGGAATCTGTGGTGGAGACAATCCCTGTGGCTTTGCACAAGCTGTGCCACGGGCAGCACCCCACGACACATGCCATTCACAAGCTGTGCCCAGGACAGCACCCCACGACATGCCATAGACCGCGTACACATGCGCGCCTTTCTGGTCAGTGATATGTATGGCCGTGTCTTCATGCCCCTGCCAGAAGTCAGTGGAATCCGAGCGGCCCAAAACATCGTGGCGCTGAAGCGAACTGAGCACAGCAGGGGACCGGTGAGGTTCTCCGAGTCAAGGATCTGCGAGTTCGAATCAAAAACTACTCTTCCCCAAAGCATTGGGAACCCGAATGCTTTGGAGAAGCAACAGCTTCAACTCCTTCTTCTCTCTAGGGCATGCTTCTAAAAAAGTCCGATCCCATCGATCGTTCCGAGCGTTGGGGCGATAGAGCCAAACAGGCTTCCCCTGGTGAAAAAGCCGACCCCTCCAACAAAAACGGCCGTCTGCTTTTAAAGCGTCCGACTCATTTGGCCACGGCACTCTCCGTGTCGTAGCGAAGGCGCAAGGGACGCACCACAGGCCTCAGCCATTGGATGTCAGTCGGCTGACCAACCAGTTCCTGCTGGTAAATAGGGGGTCTCCAAAAATTACGTCAAGGCAAATTGCCAATCCTCCTTGGTTTGCCTGGAACATCAACAATTATGGATTTATTTTGCGCTCCCTCCCACTAACATGGCAACTATCTCGAAGAACCCTATATGTGGATGGGAATGAACCCTGTACTTGCCAGTTGGTAAGTAGCTTATTCCAGTAGTCATAGGGCTTCATCCATCACTGGTGCAGGAGGTTGTCCATCTGCAGCACTTAATCAGTTTCCCGCCCCACCCGAAAATACGTGGAATTGGCCGAACAAATGATTGCAAAAAAACCTGCGCCAAGGATGGTAGACCTGGGTTCCTTGTTCCACTTTCGTCATCTCCTCCAAAAGGAGAGGCAAACATGTGTAACTGAAAAGTGTTTAAAACCACCTTAACTTAACATAGACATGGAGAAACGCCGTTTTAAACCTCTGTTTCAGCTGGATGAAGCTGCAACTGAGCATTCGGCTTCTCAGGCACCTGGCAAGACGGATCTCCCGCGCTAAGGCACTGCTTGGTGAAGCTGCTCATGGTGCATTCGATCTTGTTTCGGACTCGGTTTGACTCGTGCAGCAGCATGGCGAAGTGGGAGCTTTCTTGAATTCAGCTTGCAAAAGCCGGTCGCATGGCCCTTCAACAATCTACAGTTCTTACAATAGCTCCAAAGCATACACTACGCGATCCCAAGAAAAAAAGAAAAAAAAACATCGTGGTGACACATGCTAGGTAAAGTAGGTTTGCCAGATTCTCTTCACACCCCATACTTTCCCGCTTCCACTGACACAGAAAAGCTATGTTACTCGATCTGGACTGACATCCAAGAAAGCATCTCCAGAAAACTCTGAAGGACATTAGCCAAAGGCCCACTACTATCCAGGGGTTTGGGCTAACTTCCTGGATGTTCTGGAGATGGCTTCTCAGATGATTGTGGTCCTCGATCCCATGTGGGAATGCCCAAGAGTCCAAGTGGGTGTGTTGGTTGATTGGGAAATGAAAGAAACCACCCAGCAAACATATCAGGTGTATATTTTGTGAGGCTGTCCTGTTGGGGTTGCCTAAAAGGAGGGCTAAACGGAAATACTCCAGTTCCCCCTCCCCCCAAACCAGAACCCCAAAACGAAAATCATTGACTCTACGTCTGCAAAATGGTAAAATGTACCTATATACGGCCTCACTAGCATCCCCGCACAACAGCCGAGTAAAACCCCTGCTGAGGTTGGCCCGGCGGGGGTTCGTGCGAAGCTCGTACATGCCTCTCATGTATCCAAGATGGGGTTGGGCGCACAGTCGGACGGGGATATGGCTGAACCCGCAAGGCAACATCAAATGTCATAGTCAGTGCATGGGACATTCACGTACAAGGCGGGGTGTCTGAAGTGTCGAAACTGAAAAAAAACTTGGTGGGACAGGTCCCCTTTGCCTTCTTTGCACAATTTTGGCCAGACCAGGCACCAATTTCTGTGCTTCCCATGCGGCCTCAGCAGGCATCCCATCCTCACAATGGGGCTTCAGCTTCTAGAGTTTGACGCTTTGGCGGAGGCAGTCGATGGCAAGAGTCAAACAGTACTATTTCGGTAGGCTGTTGTAGTGGCGCTGCAGAACCCGTACCATCCTCAAGGTGCAACGCTCCCATGTAGTCCCCCCCCCCAACATTGCGGAAGGAGCAAGGTAGGGGAAGGGGAATGCCTTTTTGCAGCTTTCGTCGGAATGCCTTTTTGCAGCTTTCGTCGGACAAGCAGGAAACACCAACACACAGAAACCAACACTCGTACAATATTTATGTTCAAGCTTGCGTGAGTGAAGTGCTCAAGCTTGCTTGAGTGAAACGTTCAAGGTGGCTTGAGTGAACCGCTTGCAATATGGCAATGTAGGAAGCCTAGTCACGACTTGAAGGCCAGCAAACAATATGTGCAAGGTTTGACTGCATGGCATCATCTGAGTGACCCATCAACACATCAGTCGGCTCTTGAGGTCGCGTCGATCTCCTTCAGGAAATCCGCAAAGGCGTCCTGGTGGCATCAGAACGTGTTGCACCCTGCACAACATGCTGGCAAACCTGGTACCCCTTGGGGCAATGCAAGGGAAGGCATCCACCCAAGCCATTAACATGGCGCATGGCAATGCCCCCTATACAGAAACTCGAATTAGTTTCAGCTGATCCGTTGAAGACCCACGTGGCGAGACGGCACTTCAGTCAACAAGGGACCGGCTCCAGTGCTGGCCTCTGCCCGAGTCTGTGTAGGGGATCAACGCTTGCTTTCGCTAAAGAGACACCTGGTCCAAACGAGAAGAGACATGGCCTTTCCCTTGCAGTCAGTTGTTCCCCTTCTCGCGGCGTTTGGCGAGCTTTGACATGCTTGTGAAAGCACCTCCGAAAATAGGGGCTCCAAGCATCATGCTGGCTGACGAATGGAAACACGAGGGAAACAGGTGAAAGACCAATGCAAAGAGCCTTCCCTGCCACATCTCGGTCCTCAGGAGGTTCCTGGCCAGGCATGGCCGGGCAAGCAAAAACCAAAAAATGGGCCCATGCGGAAGTATTTGTTTCACCGCCGTTTTCCTTACTCAGATGCCCAGTGGCCATGGGAAAAAATGGGCATCCTTTTTTGGTCGGTTGAGTTTAAAGGGGAACCCTTCCCCCAAAAAAGGAAAAAAGGGCGCCACTGGGCAACTGGGCTTATATTCCGACCATGACTCAAAGTCGACCAACATTGGGGATGCATGCTCCTTTGCAAACGAAGCCCAAACAAAGCAGAAACAACTGCGGGGCTCAAGATGTGGCACCTTCAGGCCAGTTGTGATGACGGCCTCTCTTGTGCCGCAGCAAATTGTGAGGTTGCAACGGGACCGAAACGAGGCATGCCACATGTCCTAAAGCCTGCGTGAACAAACAAATGCAGTCAACAGCAATCAAACAAACTGTATAACACCATCCCAAAAATAAGCTGAGTTGAAAGCAGATCTGTCAAGCAACTGCCTGGTGCCAGTGCGCACTCCAACCAACTTCCGCATTCATAGGGGGCGCATTCCGCGAAAGTGAAGGAGCCCGCTTAAACGGTGCACCCCGTATGAATCGACCCGCGGTATATTCCTGCATCCCTACGCGCCTTCATCTCCACATCCGCGCCCTCACCAGGTGGCAAGTCTTTCATGCCGCCCCCAACTGGGGAAAACCATGGGGGCCTCATCGAACATGAATTCCTTTCTTTGTAACTACCTACTTAAAGGCAGTATGTTTCGGGGAGTGGGCCAGTTCTTTTGACTACTCAGTGGCGTGAGTCTTTCCGAGAAAGCGATCGACGTCACCGAAGATCGGGCGCTCTGAGGTGCTCGCAGGGTGAATTTTGTCGATCTCGCTCAAGAAGTCCATGAACCTCACAAAGCGTGGAAATTCTACCGGGTTCCGGTGTCCCCTCCAAACATCACCCCCAGAAAGGAGAAACCATCACCCTTCTTCTCATGGCAACCCGGAAATGATGCTCAAACCACTCCAGGGAAATCTCCCTGGCTGAGTGGATGGCCCAAGAAAAGTCCAAACCTTATATTTACTAAAGTCCTAAAATTCTCAGGAAAATCTCCCTGGCTGATTGAAAAGCCCAAAAAAAGTCCTAAAATTATCTTCCCCCAAAAGTGTCTTACTGGACCCCTCAGGGCCCCTCAGGGCTAGCTTGCGGTTCAAGGCCCCGGCGCATCTCCTTTCGGCTTGTTCAGGGTCTGGCCATGCTCAAGTCTGCTCAGTTTGCGAAGCAAGCGTTGAGTTCCAAGATAAATGCACCTAGAGCCTCCATGACCCCAAATAAAAATATGACCCAAAATTATTTGGGGTGGTGACCAGCCTTTTTGAAAGGGTCATGGAGACTCATGGGCTGAATTGATGCACTCCTCTTGGATTGTCTGAAAGGGCAACCTCAAGGAAACCAATCCTGTGTCCGTGTGCGTCGGCTCTCTAGTCCACATAGCACACGCTGCTTCCGACCTTTCTCGCATGAAAGCCTTAATAAGGGTTTTTGTTGGGCTCCTTCCCCCTCCCCTCCCTCCCCCCCAGCCATGAAGCCCACGGCGATCTGGCCTTCGAAGGCGACATGCGACGTGCCTCCCGGAGCAAAGCCACGAGCTCGTCCTTGTCTTCCAAGCCCCCGGGGATCGCTGCGCCTCCCGCGCCGCCGTGGAAAAACGCGTCCCAAAGCCCAAGCGCTTCTTGGGCCAATTTGGCGCGTCAAAACCGTGCCTGACCTTAATGGGTACAGGTCACAAATTGTTGACAACTTGCATTGATCATGGTGTGCATTTGAAAAAGGGACCTCATGGCAGATGTCACTGCAACAGAGATATGTGCCCACCAACATTTTCGCAGAGTATTCCCGATGTAAGGTTGTGGCCTTATAGGTCATGAGTTCCGGAGGAACTATTATGCATCTCTCTTTTCCGCAAGCAGCTGTCTGCAGTGAGGTTTTGCTGGTCAATGCGAGCGACAACCAGCAGGAAAAAAGCCATCTTGTAAGGAATCGCCCTGGAATGAATTCGCTCCCCACTGGAAGCGGAATCGCCCATGAGTTATTGAGTCCTCCGAATTCATCCAAAATTGGTGAAGTGGAAAAGCACCCCAAAGGCTCTCGCGTGGAATCAACCCATATGTTTCGCCCGCGATGAGCCGATGTGCTTCACTCAACACGTTGTTTTGGGTCAACATTTAGAATAAAATCCCTCCCCGACTGAATTCAACGTCCTTCAACGGGATGGAGAAAACAACTCCGGCCAACGGTCGCAGGATGTGTCCAAAATGCCTGCGGAGCGTAGTCGCCGCTTGATCTCGACGACCTTGAAGCGCCAGCCCCAAAGGTACACAGTGCTTCCAGTCACGTCTAGAAGCGGCAACCAGGGGAGACCATGAAAAGCTGCAGGGATAACGCTCGATACCTCCAACTTGGGCCAAGCGAAAACTCATTAGAACTGTCATACCCTGGCATGAAACTTGAAACCATTCTACAAACTACCCTGGTTCTTGGTCTTTCTGCAACACCCTGATCAACAACACAAAGATGTTCACTGTTGTGCATTCTTCCAGGGATGCTTGTACACACCCCCTTTTACATACCCCTTGGACAAATGAACCCAACAGGCCTGCTGATATTCATACCCCTCTCCCGTTGGAAACCACGGAAGCAAAGGGGTATGAACAAGGGGTATGTACTTCCACCCTTAGATTTGTGAAGGGGACTGTTTAGTTGTGGGAGCATGCAGGGGCTAAGCCCAGCGCTGGCAGGTCATCCAATCCATCCCCTTCTTCTGCATCATCTTTGGCCTCGCAGCTCCCCGGAAAAAGACATACCAACTGGTAGGGAGGCTACTTACTTGCTTGCTTCAGGCACGGCAAGCAGACAGCAAACCAATGGTTTTTTGTTTGCACTGATGCAATGGCTTTTGGTAAGACAGCGTAGGTCTGCTAGGCCCTCCAGTAGAGAGGTTAGAATAAGGGTACCCTTTTTTTCTGCAGTCTATTTGAGTAGGGGAACCCTCCCCCTAAGAAGGCCACCTAGCTGGGGGACCTAGTCTGGATGGTGCAGTGCCGACTTGAGTGATGCCAAGTGCCAAGTGCCGGGAGCTGCCGGCAGCGCGACAGCAAGCTGGGCTCTGCTGATTCACACTGCCGCCAGCGTGTGGGCTGCTTTTGGGCTGTTTTGCAGCTTGGAATCCTTTGTTTTAGGCTTGCCTTCAAAGAGCATAGCACCTGTGATAATTACACCCAGAAGGGTAATTTCTCCTCAAGGGACCTGATGTCAGGCGAACGTCTGTGGGAGGAAGGAAGGGCAACCAACTTAAAAACCACACCACAGTGGCTGATGGCACCAAACGCCCATCCGGACACCTCGTCCTTCTTCTCCCCCATGTCATCCAGCGCGCCCAAGAAGGCAGCGAAGTCATCCTGCCGCACGGTCAAGAATGCTACCCCCGACTGCAAAAAGGCAGGGCATCCATACATCATTTCCCCTGTACCAAACTGCATAGGTGGGAGGCCTCCTTTTGTTCGGGTGTGGCATGGCCCGCCCTTCCATGCAATGAAGTGAAGATATTTGTCATGGATTCCCTTCTTTTGCCTCCGCACTGTCGCCCTCGGTGGCTCTAGGCGTGCTGTCAGACCTCGGCTCATGGCTCATCGAAGGAGCGTCCAGTGCCCCGCTTGTCCAGGGACTAGCAATATATTTGTAAATTGTTGGGGGCGGGTATGGCTCAAAATGGGGCAAAGCTTTAGACTTGTTAGCTTCCTTTTGGTTTCAAACTCAAGCAAACCCAGGTTTCGCCGAAAAGGAACAAAAAACCATAGCGGCGATCGCTGAGAAAGGCTCGTCTCGACCACTGGGCCGACGCGCTGCATGGCCGTTGAGTCATCCGCCTAGGTTTGACTGGGCAACAAGGAGAGCCCCCACTCCAGATCCCGAAATGTGTATGTTTGAAATTCCTGGTCAGGTTGGGTTGGTCCGTTGGGATGCTTGGA